AACCCGGCTACGCGGGCCGCGCTCATCCTATGGTCATCTGGGACATCCGGTCGCTCTAAAGGCGTGCTGTTGTCCCACCAGTCGCTGAATTTCTCGGTTACCTCACTCTGGCATGATGCCGACTTCTACCTGCGCCAACGCCAGCGATGGCTGGGCTTCGTCCCCTTCTTCCACGTCTACGGCCTTTTGAACCTTCTCCTTCTGGCCGTCCCTACCGGATCAACAGTGTATACTTTGCCGGCATTCAAGCTCGAGACTGTGCTAGCCGCTATTCCCCGTCTCCAGATTACCTATCTGGTTTTGGCACCGCCCGTAGCAGTATCATTGGCCAAATCGCCCCTCGTTGAGCCCTACGCTCAGCGTGACAGCCGTGGCCGTAACCGGTTCTCCAGCGTTATCGCCGGCGTCACAGGCGGTGCGCCATTGGGCCATGATATCATCGCCCAGGTATTCGCTCGACTCGGGTTCCGCATCCGTATGGGTTACGGCCTGACCGAGGCTGGTAATGTGGCATGCCAACCCGGTCTCAGTGAGAAAGACCTGCACTCACAACGGGATGACAGTGGCCAGCCGCACTGGGGGGTTGAGGTTATGATTGCCACCCATGTCCCCGGGGAGCGTGGGCTCGTCCCTGCTGAGATTGGGGAGCCTGGGGAGGTTCTCACCCGATCACCTGGCCTGATGATGACATACATGCCTGTCGGGGGGTTATTTTCCAGGGAACAGCTTAGCGGCCCCTCGCCCACAGCTGAAGCTCTGACACCACACGGCTGGCTTCGGACTGGCGATGTCGGCACCATCAACCTGGATGGGAGTATCCGCCTCACAGACCGGATCAAGGAGCTGATCAAGGTCCGTGGGTTCCAGGTGCCGCCGGCAGAGATTGAAGCCGTCCTTTGTAGTAGTGAAGAGGTTACAGATGCCGGAGTGGCAGCTGTCTACGACGCAGAGAGAGCAACGGAATGGCCTCGTGCGTTTGTTGTTGCTGCGGTGAAGGCACAGACGCACTCAGAGCTCAAAGCCCTCGCACACCGGTTGCGTGACCTTGTCGAAGCACATACGGCGAGGTACAAGAGGCTGAGGGGCGGCATAGTGTTTGTTGACCAGATCCCTAAGTCACCCAGCGGAAAGATTCTTCGGCGGATGATGAAGGAAGGTCAAGTCACTGGCGTGGAGTTTCAGGTGTATGAGCCGACAGGAGCGCCATCGAAGCTCTGAGGAATTTCTCCAGCGGTTCTGATACAATTAAGCAATCTTGTGACTGAAAGCATAGCTCGTGTATTTCATAGCCTATCTTGGATTGTATTCTTTTTCACTTTATCCCTTTTGAAACCGTAGAAGAGCCACTATTTCAGTCAATTGATCTCCTTTTCAGTTCCGTATCATTATGCTCTGTGCTTTCTAGCGAAATAGAAGGAGAAGGAAAAAAAAAAGCAATGAGATTAATAGAAAGAGAGCTAGGCTACCTTCCCTTGACCTTGCTCTTATTCAGAACTAGGTAGAGGGGCATGAAGACCAGAGACCCTACAACGCAGAGCAGCGTGCTGTACAGCTGCCAAAGACACCATAGCAACGGCCCGACACCGGGGACTAGGAACCCGATGCAGTCATTGATGGTGTAAAGGTCCTCCTGGCTAGAGATGTAGTAACGGGCTCTTTCGCGGCCGGGACCGGCAAGAGCTGCGGGCTCCCTGCTCTCGGCCAGCGCTCTCCTCGCGACGGTCTCCTCAGGCGCCCATGACGTGCGTTGAGATAGACGCAGCACTGAGACGAGCTTGACTTGGGCCTTGTAGAAGGGAATAAACCACACAGCGAAAGTCTGGCGCATGGAGACGTAGAGAATCCCAGATCGCTGGTCAAATACTTGTGGGGTTCGGCACGTCAGGCTCTACAGTTGCTGGACTCGGGCGAACGAAGGAGATATTACATACCTGCAGAATCTATAGTGATGTCGATGTTGGGGCTCAGGGTGCGGTACCAGCGATATATACCCAAGATGAGCCAGGCTGAGTCAATGGCCGGGGCAAAGGGAACCGACCCCTTGGCGAGAGGCGGGACATAGCAAAAAGGATGGGAGAATGACGCGTTGGATAGGAAATAGTTGTAGAGGGTCTCTTCTTGCTCAGGCGGGCTGCCCTTGGTGAGGGAGGTGATGACACCTTCGATCTCTTTCACTATTGAGGGAATCAATTTTAGACAGTGCTCCAATATGAAGCGGCTGGGATCTTTTTGGGTAATGAGCCCAGATGATGTTTGCTTGCTTACCTGGATGCTCCATGATGCTGCTGGCGGTTTATGCTGGCAGGGGTGATGTGGTATCCGTACCACAATCATCAATTGATGTAGAAATCTTTTTCACCCGATTGAAAGAAGCAGGCTCACTGTGCTGAAGATGCGGTACAGAATTGCGAGTATAATTTGAACGGCTTCAGACCCGGTTGTTGTAGAGTAAAGTCTGGTCAGTGAGGCGGATTGGCTATGACGTCGCTCTAGCAGATCACAAGCATCAACACGAGAACACACTTGGAATGACAGACGTCTCCATTACACGTAAATAGCGGATGGGTCCGGAAACGAGTGGCCTTATGAATAAATTGACTGTGGGTTCAATTGGCTCGAGCATGTGAATATGCGTATGATGGGTGATGCCATGTGAAGATTGAGTATTATTGACGTCACCATTATACGCGAAATCTTATGCCGTCCGAGGCTCGACTCAACCCATCAAATCTTCAGCAGGGGTGTGTGAGGAGACAAAAAGCCCTACCCGCCTCAATTGGTCTTCTAGCCAGCTTCCATTCTTTCCAATTCCATCAACCTGGCTACCTATTGAGTGCAGCTTCTCCCCTTCCCTTGGACCAAGCGCTGCTACCACCATCACCATGGCCTCTCGTTCTCAGGTCCAGAACCCTTTCCTCCATCCCCTGCTCTTTTTGTATCAGATATTGCAGTGGATCATACACAAGACCATTGCTCCCAACCCGCCTCGTTCAGATAATGAGCTCAAAAGGCCAAAGATTGCTATCGTTGGGGCTGGCATCACGGGCATCACCGCAGCCGCCCACTGTGTTGGCCATGGGTTCGACGTCGCTATCTTCGAACAGGGTCCTAGCGACCAGGTTGGCGGCATCTGGAGTGTAAGTTGAGGTGCTTGCTTGCTTTGTATTCCCTCTCTCTAATTGGGATTCTGCACAGAGAGTGAACCAGGAGTCAGGTCTGCAGATTCACTCCATCATGTACCGATTCCACCCTTCTGTCACCTGGCAGAGCGGCTACCCCGATCGTCAGCAGATCCTCGGCCAAGTGCGCAAGATCTGGAAAGATTACGGCCTTGAGAAGAAGACCAGGTTTGATTTCAAGGTCAACAAGGTTTACCAGGACGACCGTGGCAGATGGATCATCAATGACACCTCCAACGGCCGCTTCGACGGCCTTATTCCTGCGATTGGAACTTGTGGCGAGCCCAAGATCCCGGCATTCCCTGGGGCTGATCAGTTCAAAGGCGAGATTTACCATTCAAGCGACCTCAGCAGGTAAGAAAATGAAACAGCCAAACCTATTCAGTATCCTTGAACCTTGTTATAACACCTTGCAGCCATAGGGAAAAGGCCAAGGGTAAGAAACTGGCCATTATCGGAGGTGGTGCCTCAGCAGTGGAGGCACTCGAATTTGCTGCGTCTGCAAAAGCTGGCAAGATTTCCATCCTATCGCGCTCAGACAAGTGGATTATTCCTCGGAATATAGTGGTTGATGTCCTCCTGAGTTTCAACATCTTCGGTCAAGAAACGAGTTTTTCCTTCATCCCAGAATTCCTTCTCAGAAAATTGTTCTACCGAGACCTGGAAGATATATCGCCGTCTGAAAAGGGTCTGTATATGGACACCCCGATGGTCAATTCTGATGTAATGGATAAACTTCGCAAAGGGGAAGCAGAATGGGTTCGTGGTGACATCGACGGCTTCTGTGACCGCGGTGTCATTGTCAACCGCAGGGCCAAAGGTGTGCCTCAGGGAGGTCCGGGACACGAGGAAGTCATCGATGCCGATATTCTCATTATGGCGACCGGATTTAAACGACCGTCACTGTCTTTTCTGCCCCAGGACAGCTTCAAGGAGCCGTACGGGCCCCCGAACTGGTATCTCCAAACATTCCCCCCAGCTCATCCTTCCATCTCCGCCATCAACTGTACCTACGTGTCCGCCATCGGGTCTGTGGGTAACTGGCACATTGGGATATACACTCGAATTCTCCTCATGTTTCTCACAGATCCACTGACACGGCCCTCTCCTTTCTGGATGCAGCGATGGATCGACCTGACGACAGTATTGAAGCGAAGCAGCCCAACTGGCGCCTTTGACTTCTTCACCTACCTTGAGCTGGTCTGGTGGTTTACATTTTGCGTGGCATTCAACCCATTTCGGTGGAAGTGGGCTATCTTCGTCTTCTTTGGGGTTGGGTTGAACCTACCCAAGACTCTCGTAGAATTAGAGGAGAAGATTCTGCCTCGAAAGGGGTACACAGTTCGGGACAAGGGTGAGAGTCTATAAGGTGGTAATTTACGAGAAAGGACTATTTCTTTTCTTATGATTTATACAGATTGTGTCGAACTGGAATGTATCTGAAGCTACAGCCAATCCCTAGAAAGGTGTTTTCTTCCTATTTCCTGCTGGTTCCCCCCCCATACGGATCATGGGACTTTGGTAGTATAAAATATATTAATCACCACTATATAAGCGGAAAATTGAAGTCCCAAAGCACGAAGATCCCCTTTAGAATGTAAACACCTCCCTGATCTAACCAGTTTGAACAATCGTCCCGAGTTTCACCAGCAGAAAATAAGGAAAACCAGGCCAGTTTGCGATAATATAAAACAGCTAATATATGACTCAGTGAGCCATTGGTGCTGATATTGACTTCAAAGCCTTGTTAGCTGGAATTAGGAATTGAAGTTGGATGTTTGGCCAGAATGACTTACTGTTTGCGTGCTGACTTTCTCTCATCTAATTTTTGCCCTTACCCTTTCTCCTTCCCTTGCCCCTCTTCTTCTTACCCTTTCCCTTCCCTCCCCCATACGTGGCCATGTCTTTTTTCTTCTTCCTCTTCTCTTGCTCTTCATCCAACTGCTCATCCTCTTCTAACAACATATATTTCTCTTCCTTCTCCCTCTCGAGCTCTTCCTTTAACTGCTCTTCAGCTGCTTTTCCCCTCGCCTTTTCTTCCTTCACCTTTTCTTCCTTCGCCTTTTCTTCCACTTCCTTTTCTTCCACTTCTTTTTCTTCCGCTTCCTTCTCTTCCGCTTCGTTTAATACCTCTTCCACTTCCTCACCCTTCTCTTCCTCTTCCTCTTCCTTCCTCTTCCCTTCCCCGCCCTTCACCTTCTCTTCCTCTTTCTCAATCTCTTTCTCTGAAACCTTGCTCTTGCCCTTGCCCTTGCCCTTGCCCTTGCCCTTGCCCTTGCCCTTGCCCTTGCCCTTCTTTTTTCTGCCCTTCTTGGACTTTTTTGACATTTGCTTCTCTAGAACATCAGCGGCAAGGTCCTCGGCAGCAACAGGAGGAGCAGCCGCAGGAGCAGCCGCAGGAGCAACAGCAGGAGCAACAGCAGGAGCAGCAGCAGGAGCAGCAGCAGGGGCAACAACAGCAGCAGCAGCAGGGGCAACAACAGGGGCAGCAGCAGCAGGAGCTGGACCCACGGGAGCAGCGGCCTGCTGGGGAGCAGCATACCCCCATGGATGAGGGGCGGCAACGGGGACTGGACTCAGTGCTGGCATGCCGGCCTGGATGAGGCGCTTGATGTCCTCGAAGCCCTGTTTCTCCCTCTTGGTCATGCATGTACCCATGCCGATTGCAGGCCAGATGATGTTGCAGACCATCTTGTACCGGCAGTCTGTATCAACGCGGCATAGGATTTCCTCAAAGTATCTGCCGCTGGCAGGAGCCGCGACACATAGCTGGGAGAGACCCAGGAGGATTTGTGTGGCGTGTGTAAATCGCATCGTTGTGACTAGGGACTGAGATAGAATATAGTCCAAATTGAAACGAAGGTAGGAATCCGCCAAGTTGCGGTAGAAATCGCTGATAAATCCCAGCGAGAAGAGAAACTGGAAGGAAGTTGGAAACCGACTGCGGGCGATCCAAGAATCTGTCCCTTTTTATGAGCTCTCCCAGCCCGTCAGTCAGATTGGGCAGACTTCGTGTTATAAGGGGCAATGGTTGTTTTGATTTCCATGATAACAAGCCTTGACGCATTTCGCGATTCATAAAGTTCATTGGCCCCCTCTCCCACAATCTCGTTTATGCGCTGGGGAACTCTCATGGAGGTCATCGGGGAAGTGCAAGAAGAGACAACCTATTAGGAGGATGATTTCGAAAGTTTGACCCATATGGATCAAAGTCTAGACTGATATTTATTTTGATGTTATTCGCAATGTCAATGTAATGACTGGAGGATACCGTGATGTTTCGTTTATCCTACCTAGTGAGTATCTAATGTTGTTAAAACGCGACACGAGAAAAAAAAACACACACACAAATCCCTCACCTGGAACGGTTAAAGCTCTGGCCGAGATACGTTGCAGAATTTTGCTGTCAGATCAGTTTATCATGGTAGCTCTCAGCTTCAGATGCCATAGAGCCATCGAGGATCGTTCATCAAGCTCAAAATGACGGCTCGGTTGGTACATCCCGATGATAGCTGATCTCGCCAAATGTGGTAGGGGTGAGATGGAGCGGTTCTCGATGAAATCCGACACATAATTGGATTCGTCGGACAACGGGGTGGAAAGAAGATTGAACTCCTTAAGGTTTGGATAATCGTCGATGTGGCTGTGTTAGGCTCGTGTTCCAGGTTTTTGAAGAAGATTTTGCTAGCCCATCGTTCAAATCACGCCGCGGGAGTCATGATAATCCTGAATCATTCTCGTGATCATCCGCATCCATCAGGGCTGGTGTGCAGTCGTCACATGGAATCTGCCGACACTGTATAAGCAAAGGTCAGAGGAATAGTAGAGATAATGGAATAAATGCGTGTGTGGTTCAATTATGCTAGGCTATATTGTCAAATTCAGGACGTCTCTCGTTCTGCTTGACTACCTCTTCGACAGGTGAGATTGGAAGAGATGTTGATTTATCCTATTTTCCCCCATGAACCGAAAGGGGTATAAGATGCTTGAAAACTTAGAAAACAAAAACAAAAGCCAACTCGATAACTCCCATGACATCATGGATACTTCACTCGTCCAGAATCCGTGCGGGGAGCCAGCCACTGCCAAACCAGAGACTAGCATTCAACAAGCTTGCTACTCACCCTACGACTTCGACCACTACGTCGGACGCAGCTGGCAGATTCTGGTGCTGACTTGGCACGCGGAGCCAAATCCTCCGCCGCTCTCTTCTGCTGGTCTATCTTTCTTGGGCGCCCTCTCTTGATGCGTCGACCCCGTGGAGGGGTTTCCTCTTCTTCAGATTCCTCTTCTGGCGTAACCTCTTTTGCGGCCATTTTTCTCCCACGTGCCTTACGCTCGCCATTGGGGTCCAGGAACCGATGGATCGTCCTGTGATCCAGAACACGTTCCTCCTTGTCTGAAGCACCGGCCCTGTCCGTCTTAGGCCAAATGTAGCCGTAAATTCTGGAATGTCTCTCGCATCGTGGACATGAGGATCTCGTAAAGTATGCGTTCTGCTGTACAAAGTACGTCGGGCAATTAGAGCACTGAATCCATGCCATGGCTGGCTCTGAGAGAAGAAGTGGTGTGAGAACGTAGTCGCCTGGTGTGCGATGCTGAGCTGGAGGTGTGGTTTGTTTGATGAAAACTCTTCGTTGGTATTTCTTGGTCGGCTTTGGGGTGCCTTCCTCTGGCACAGCCGAGTCTCCCTCTTCGACAGGCTCGATGCTCACAGCAATAGGGCTGAAACCAGCCTGCTCCTGCGGTGTCTCGGTGGTGGGCGTGTTGAGAATCGACTGAATTGTCATGCTCTTGGGATCCGCTGCCAGGTGCATCTTCATCGGCAGTAGAGTCGATTCTTTGGCAGGAGTCGGCATCGTCGGTTCAGGACTCTCTTTTTCTGGTGAGGTGACATCCGTCTCAACAGCTTCCCCACCGCTCGAAGAGCCACTGCGTGACATCGAACAGCTCCTCGAAGTAACACTCTCAGAGACCCGAGCACCAGTCAGGCATTTCAGCCTCTTTGATGGGGTTTTGGGTGGTGAAGCCAGTGCGTCGATCGGCCGCTTCCGTCCTCGTGGAGATTGGTCCGGCGCAGGAGACCCGGCGGCGGAGAAAGCATCGCCTGCGGCGCTGAGGCGAGACCCCTTTAACCTGGTTTTTAGAACTTTGGGGCGGACGATGGGTGTCATAGAAGATGTCCTAGATGAACCACCGATGCTGTCGTCTCTCCTCCGCCGTCGTAATGAGTAGATTTCAGGCCTACTAGATTCCTCAACGCTCTCCCGGACAGGGGCAATCCCATCCTCCGGCTCCCAGCCGTTCCGTAGATTTTCCTCGCATGATCTGCAGAGACACTCGCAGTTGTCCTCTCCGAAATAGTTTTCTCCGTATGTAACCGTAATTTCGTCCCCTGATTGGATATCCCTGGTTGCAATAATCTCAATACCGGCGTGACTGGTGGTGACCAATTTTGCGTTGGCATCGCAGTCATGGTTCGCAAAGCGGGCAGGGCCCATGAACAGGCTGGTACACTTGTTCCTCGAGCTGACCACAATGCTAAAGTCCTTCTTACGGGTAGTCATCTCCTTCTCTTCCTCGGGTGTGATAACAACCTGAATGCCGGACAGGTACTTGATGGACTCGTTACGCCGGATAAAACGTCGTGCTGTGATGGCGGCCTCGTGGCTCACAATGGTGTAGCGGTTTGTTGAATTGACCTCCCAGGGGCAGTCAGGCATGTAGATTTGTGTATAGCGTCTGAGGTGTCGTTGAAAGTCGTCCTTTTCCTTGCTGGTTTTTAGACAATTGGTGAACCTGCGGATACCGTCGGTGGCCATCAATCTCTTCATCGCTCCATCGAGGTCCTTCTTTAGCACAAGCTCGTCCTGAACGATCTTGACAATTTCATCCCCCTTTACACCACGAGACGGGTGGTAGGTAGATCGATTTTTGGGCACCGAAGTCCAGTATAGCACCTAATTTCATGGTCAGCCAGGGGCGCTTCTCTTGACTAGCCCCAAGAACAAGAAGAATCGGCACTCACGTGGTCAACGAGTGCATCAGTCGAGATATCGTCATACGCAGCCAATTGTGCCAGAGTCAGTGCCTGCTTCTTCGCCGGCACTGGCTGCGAGCGACCCATTGCGCCTGTCTGCTCGTGAGCAATTGCTTATGTGAGTAGCCAGGCTGGGCGCAAAGGCTGGACAAGTTTGGCCAAGTCTGTTGGTAAACGTGGTCGTAAGCTCGGGGGCTGTTGTCAGAGTCGTGTTGGCCCCGAGCAACGAAAGAGAGCCAGAGCGGCTGAAACGTAGAATTCGCTGAAACCAAAATGCTCCAATCCCAATTCCGAAAAGAAATGCAAAGAAGAAGACCTAGGAAGCAAAAAATCCCGTAGAGACAAAACTAAATACCGAAAAGCGCACCAAGGATTTGGTGAGTTTGCGACCCGCTCAGCTCTCGAAGGAAGGTAACGTCATGCTACGAAACGTCTACAGCGGCGACGGCGGCTGAACCGCTAACACTCGACTCGAGTCCCTTAGGTGCGTGTGCCTAGGGCTAAATGAAGCGTCGTTTTGTGCAGTGAGTAAGAATGAGAGGCAAAGGTAGGCCCAGATGAACAGACAGAAAGTCAAAAAGGAAAAATTGGAGCGAGCGATCCAGGGCAAGGGGAGGAATGAAGGTGAGAATGATTCGAGGACAAAGTCATAACGAACTGATGAGGCGCTGCTGCTGAGGGACTTGGCGTGGAGGAAGGGAAGGGGGCTCGCAATTCGGCTCCCCTCCACCCCCCCCATTCCTTTTGCGTATATTTGCTTGCTTCCAGCCACCTTTAGCTAGTCTGGGCGCTGGCCAGGCGACGAGCACAGACCATGCAACGCGGCGGCAGGGGGCAGTATTGTGTGATTTGCTTAGCTTGTCTTGTGTGAAGGCATGTTCTGTTCCAAATTAGGTAGCTTTCTCGGCCGGGTGCGCGAGCCAATCATTACAGACCCAACGGGGCACCCTGGTGAGCCACGTGACCTGCTGGATGTGGAAAAGTTCAACGCCAAAGAGCAGCCGTGGAGATGGTGATAATGGTGAAAGCAGATTGGTGAAGCTCCCCTTGCCGTCCCAGGTGGTGCCGACAAAATGATTCAATTAAAGGTAAATGAAATGGAACAGATCTGTCAGATGTCTGGATGCTAACAGTCTCGGTCCACAGACCGTCCTGAATTGCATCGACAACTCCGGTGCCGCGCTGGTTGAGTGCGCTCTGGTTATTGGACAGAAACGGGCTGCCCAAATCGGTATGCACAGGTCCTCCCTCTTTCCTCGATCGAATTATCCTCAAGCCGACCGACCGATCACAAATTCCCGCCTCTTCTGGATTGCGCTCGGACAACCTGCTAATCAAATTCCGCGCCTAGGTGACCGCATCGTGGTAGTCGTCAAGGAACATCGAGGCGCCTCCGCCTCAGGTATGGCTGGTGTTTCCGCCGCGAACAAGGTCAAGCGAGGAGATATCCGACACGCCGTCGTTGTCCGCACTAGATACCCCGTCCAACGCCGCGACGGCTCATGCGTCAAGTTCGATGACAATGCCTGCGTCCTCCTCAACAAGGCTGGAGATCCCGTTGGCTCTCGAATTAACGGCGTCGTAGGTGCCGAACTCAAGAGGAAGAAGTGGAGCAAGATTCTCTCGATGGCTCCTTCCCAGGCATAAATTGAGCATCCAGCTAGGAAAAAGAAAAAGAGGTGCCTGTTGGGTTGTGGACATCAAAGAATGGTGGGATAAATGATTCTGTATGAAGATGGAAATATCACTGTACAACTATGGGATTGCATTAGATCCTGGGCATGCTATGCGGCGTTAGACGAATGTATAAATTGTTTTACGATCATTTTCACTTGGGACATTCTCGGTTCATGTGTGATCTGGAAGGTCTTGTGATAAAGCAAAGGGCAGTGTCATGTCTGCCCGAGTGGTTGAAGACTATTCTCTCGTCCTCATCCAACTGAGAGTCTTTGCATCTATTGCTACATAATTCTGAGAGGTCGAGCTCTGTGGCCATCCCATTCGGTCCCCCAAATATAAAAATAACAGATAATAGAAGGGAAAATATCAATACGATCAAAGCGCCGAAATCCCTCCCCCATGACGCCATGCCATGCCGCTCGTCGTATGGCTTAGTATTCTCGAATTTCGTAAACGGCCATCAAGGCTGGCTCGTGCAGCAAAAGCATCGCTATTATGTGAAGATATGACCGCATTCGCAGCAGACATAAAAGAGTTTCTTTTTCCCATCATAATCAGTATTCAAATACGCTCCTCGGCCACACATCGGTAGCAACCAGGACCACGACTCACCATTCCAGTCTCGGCACTGCGCTGTTGCGATTGGAAGAACACAGCTTCCGTATGCGCACAGTTTGGGCAGGGTTTGTTCGATCGTGGAAGCTGTAGCCGTCAAATCATAACTCTCTGTCAGCCAGTGATTCTCTAAACAAGGCAGAATGTCGAAAATCATGTTGGGGTAAAAGTGCAGTTCGCTAGAACACCATCGACATTTGCTCCAACAGAATCTTGTATCACTGGCGTTTTCATATTCATAATCGTTTCAGGTTCGTTGCGGGCTTGTGCTTGATTGGAGAGCCATCGATCGCTTAGATCTCGGTACCCAAAGAGCTGTCGTCGTGTGAATCGGAAGAAAACTCGCTGCTTGTGCTGAGATAGCTCTTCTCGGACATCATTTCCTCGTCGTATTCGTCCTCATCCCAGAACGTCATCTGGAAGACGGATAGATTGCAGGAAGAGAACAGATCGTTTTGTGCCGTTGGTTTGCAGTACTCGACTGCCATTTCGGAATTGGATTCACCGCAGGTGGTGCAGTAGACGATTGTGCCACAGCAAAAGCAGAGGGCAGGTGGAAAAGCACTAACCGTTGGATCAGAGCCCACGTCCTGGGTGACACCGGCGGTCTCTCCTGCGGTCTCGTTGAGGACGTTTCGGAAGACGCAGGTGGTTGTGGCATCCTCGGTGTACTGGCACGTTCGGCAGGTGAACTGGAGCTTGTGGGCGTCTTCGTCCTCCTTGGGGTAGAGCATATTAGAGCATTCCGAGCAAAATCGGAACGAAATCTGTTCGAGTTTCTTGGGCTTGTTTGCCAGCTGGGCGTCGTGCGACGCGTTCGAATTAGGCGAAGACATTTTTGTCGGTGTGGTGGGTGTCGGGCTGATGATACACGGAGACTCCGTAGAGGAAGGTGTAACGGAAAAGAGGCGAGGGAACGCAGGAGTTTGCCGTTGCGTTTGGGTTCGATGCGCTCCTTTTTGTAGTTGAATCGAAGTGATGTGATGTGTTGAAATGTGTAAGACAAAGAAAGTGTCGGAAGCAGTCCCCGTAATAATTTAAGTAGCGAAATGCCTGGCCTTTGCGCCACGAATAATTAGTGGGGTGGAGGGGCTGGTTGGTGGGTGTGCTGAAGAGTTGTGGTGGTATCACAGCCTTGAAGTCACTGCGGTATGGCAGTAGGTACTTAATCAGAGCAGTGGAAAATTGTGTGTGTGTGTGTGTGTGTGGAATGGGCAAGTTTCTGATGCTGGTGTCTGGCAGACTCACTCCCTTTATCAATGTCTGAGAGGTGCTGAGGTGGGTGGAAGGCTAATGTATCTGACTTTGCGCAAGGCATCTCGGGCGCAAGTACTTTACCATCTGGTCATTTGCCTCAGAGTCTGATGAGTCACAACTTAAACGCGGCAGCCCTCCAGTCATATCTGCTCAGTTGCAAGATGACCTCTGTCACATGTGGCTCAATGTTTCTAAGAAAAGTGGTTTTTGTAGGAACGCCACCATGCATAGATTTAACCCTTCATTTGATGGCTATACGTACGCAAACTCTCGACGCGCAGCAGTTTACGCAGCATTTGGGGGACTCGAGTTTGAAGATACCAGCATTTGTTAGGTGCGTACCTTTTACATGAATACAATGTACACATCACCTCCATTTGCGTCACAGGCCTCCTAGGAATACTTTTGTACGTAGAGCAGGCCTCACTTGCACCTTTGTAGATCATCGAGACATCATTTGTTGTGACAGGTTGTGTTTGAATCAACCTAATTAATTCGTGAACTTCATTCACAACCTCACAGCCGCTGACACTGCTAATGGGATTCCCGTGACGCCTTTCGATGAAGGCTATTTAGATCATCGCCTACTCAAAAAGTCTACGCATACGCACTATCATGTGCATGTGTGTGGAGCTTCTTACTGATGGCGCGCCTTGCTCAAGCACCTGCATTATTGCCCATCAGGAACATGCCGATTTGATGGCAATCCGTGCCTTCTAGTGCGACTGGGGACTACTATTTTGTGAGGATTGCCAGGTCTTGGCAGTCGGGCAGCAAGCGAAGAGGTTTCCACCATCTTCCAGAATCCAGAGTTGACTCCGAAGCGGCCTGCATTGTCGGTCACTATTGGCTATGGCAGGGTATGCCATAATGCATCTGCCTGTATGTTTGCTAGTTACTTGAAAGAACTTCTTACTTTTGATGCAACCAATTATGAGTAGCAAAATCCGGCCCCGCTATGGAAGCGTTAGCTACCTATTGTGCCAGCAAGAGTGATGTTGGGTTTAACAGTACGAAGGAAGCGCTCAGTTCTGTTCCCCCATCTCTATTTTGGGTAGGTATATGATCATTACTATTGCCTAGTATAGTCAAGGTACCTAGTTGCCTAGATAATCAAAGGTATTGCCCCGTGGGTAATCCTGAGTATCCAACCACAGTAGTTAATTCTGTAGAGCAGTTCAGCCTGGACATCCAAAGGTCTTTCAAACGTTTGGCGTCGTTAATTCTCAGAGGCTAAATATCATTTGAAGACAAACTTATTTTGTAAATCTCCTCCAATACTCTTGCTGAAATTGTTGAGACGATGCTACGTAGAAGAGCCGTCCCCCTTGCTAGTCTTTCATGGCTTCCCCATGTTGCAATTGTTGATCTTTACAATACACCGGATAAAACCGCTAGTTCCCTCAAGAAGCCAGGCTTGGGTACAAAGTTTCCACTAGAATCTCGACTGAGCTGATAGCTACATGGCAATTGTGACTAGGTGCATTAGGTTGGTTCAGTACCCACCACACCTTGAGCAAACGAGGACATCAAGACCTTCCCACAGTTTTGAGGTTGCCTCAAGCTGGTAATAGAGTGTGGGAGGAGAGCGCAGATAAGCCATCTCTGGCCTGTAATATCCCGTATTATGTATCCATCGTCGCAGCTAGCCGGCCCGCAGTCATAAATGAGGCGCACGGTTGTAGTAGAGTACCGGCCAATCATTGGGCTTGCGTGACAGGGCTATTCATCACGGCCAGGATGAGGGTGGGCAGCAGCTGGACCCTGCTGTTGGCCTAATTAAGGAACCGAGAGACAATCTAGACCTGATGGATCCCGCTGAAACTTATGCTTTTGGGGCGCCAGCTTGGGTCAGTTAACACGACCTTGTCCGCCCTTTCTCTATCAACATCTACCTGCAGTTGCGCGTTCATCCCACTTCATGCGCCTAGCTACTAGGATTGGAAGAGAAACGTAAACGGGTTTATCATGTGCAGATGAAGGCTCTTGTTTGCTCTAACAGAACCAAGGAGCTTACTCGCTTCTCCTTTTCCTGCTTCTACTTTGAGCTTGATCTGAATACATTAGAAAACCATGCCAAATAGAACCCCGTTGGTAGATGGAGAACGATACGGACTCTGCAAAACACTTTATTTACGGCCTGACGACAGAATCACTGCCACTACTAACGGCCTTTAGAAAACCATGTCCGACTTGGTCCCCGGAGCCACCGATCAATCACACACCGATGGTTCAGGGGAAACCGTCGCAGACCCTCCGGTGTGTATCATCCTCCATCTTTGGTAGCACCGACGATTCTGACCATATATTTTCATAATTACACAGCAAGTGGAAGAGGTTAACAACGGAAATGACCATGATTCCGCACTTGGGATTGTGAGTATCACCTATCCTTCCTGATCTAGATGCCAATCAACTAATGTTGGGGTTTGTGCTGTTACCACTAGGTTGATGATGCCTTGACATCAGAGTCTGTTCACTCAAGTGTATACAACTACCACATGGAGAACGGGCGGAGATATCATGCTCTCAGTAAAGGAAGTATGTGACGTGCCTTCTACATAACCCGCTACGGCTGCAAGTACCAACTGACACCTTGCACCAGAATATGTATTACCCAATGACGAGGTATCCATTCCGAAATCGAGATTGTAGCCTGCTTCCAGTCGTGAAATTCGCTAATACTGACAAACTGTTCACCTCATAGGAAGAAAAACAGAGGCTCGGTATGCGACCCCAGGCAGAGCATTGCTAATACATTGCTCACACTTGCTAATACGATGTATCTTACAGATATACAAAACCATCAATTTTCCATAACTTTTGACGGTCGTTCTTGCTTTTCTCCAGGGGCAGACGGTGCAAGGCGTGTCCTGGACGTTGGCACAGGCACAGGAGTCTGGGCAATTGATTTCGGTATGTACCATCAACACATACTCCCGGCCGTTATTTGATGGAAAATCGGCCTGACTAACACCCTGAAATAGCCGACGAGCATCCTCACGCAACAGTAATTGGAGTAGACCTTAGCCCTATCCAACCAGAATAGTATGAGTATTCCCAACGAAACCTGTCACTCGACCCCGTGGTTCAATGCTCTAACCTCAATTGTATGGTATAGTGTTCCTGTCAATTGCCGCTTTGAAGTCGATGACATAGAGAATGAGTGGACTTGGACAGAGCCCTTTGATTTCATCTTTTCCCGGATGATGGCTGGTAGCTTTGCCAACTGGGACAATTTTATGAACGAGGCGTTATTGTGTGTTCTGCCCACCTCCCCCCCCCAACTCGACCATCTTCTTGTTTGGTTATGTACTGACAATGTGACCAAGTCATTCGAAACCGGGTGGTTGGCTCGAGGTGATTGACAGCAGCGTCCCCTGCAGGTCTGACGACGGTAGCCTTACGGAAGACCACGCTCTTCACCAGTGGATGTCACTGATGCTGAAGGCCAGCGAAAACTTGGGTCGGTCTATTGCAGCTTCTAACCATCACAAGCAGCGGTTCATCAATGCGGGTCTTAAAAACGTAACCCAAAGGGCCTACAAGTGGCCAACAAACCCCTGGCCGAAGGACTCAAAGAACAAAGAACTGGGTTTCTGGACACTCGCAAACATCGAGAACGGCCTTGAGGGAATTAGCATGGCCCTGCTGACCAGAGGTCTTGGATGGACCAAAGAGCAGCTATTGCCTTTTCTCGCTGTAGTCCGCAAGGACATGAGAGACCCTCACATCCACGCCTACTGGACCATGTGCGTTGAATCCTTAATCTACCACCCGTCCTCGCTTTGAAGGTGTTGATTGAACAGCAACCAATTAACTTTGGAACTTTAGTCTCGTCACATATGGGCAAAAACCCTGAGGGTGGGTGGATATCCCATCCCGAATCGTGGAACCAACAGCCAGAAAACAGGGAGGAGAGAGGGAATGGACGAAGGGAAATGTGCCAATCTATTACTCTCTTGGATCGCGGGGTTTTATTCTTCGTCCATTTCCGGTGTCTACTTTGCCATCATGGTGGCCGGCTTCAAATACAACCGAGGGAAACCGATCATGGTCGATAAAAGACCGGAGTTACAGGGAGTGGGTGAGTAGGATCTAGAGCCAGCGCAAGCATTACATTAGTAAACCAACATCTGCCTTCTGAACATTTCCGATTGGTCATCTATGCATCATATTCTCAGACAGGCCGAGCATGATCGTTTACCCACTCAGCAAATAGGTCTAGAGCCCAAGACTTGCTCCAAAGAAGCCAACCTTGCGTGGTCCCCCAGCGCATTTATCCGGGTTGGATGTGGTGGGCGTAGGCATGAGGTCGGTGTTATGCTGGCTTCTCTAGTCACATGGCTCTGCGCAATTCCTGAGGACGAGCCGTGATTCGTAGCGCCCGAGCACACATGAGGCTCTAGCCGATAGATCCCCCCTGTCTCGTGACTGGGAAACGTTACGTCGATTCAGATTGATTGACGGGAACTGGGGGTCGGTGGCAGTAGGGCAGGATGGAGAGGAGAAGTGGTGGCTTGTTAGTGGTTGTTCAGCTGGGCTATGCTCTATGGGGCCAGTGGATGCGCGTTCTTCTGAGAGTTCCCCCACAGACCAGAACCCCAGCGCCATCACAGTGACTGTACCCCGCAGAGTTGGCTCTGACTGTGTTGGGCTTCATGCGCTAGAAAGATACTTCCTGGATCGTCTTGAGACGGGTGGGGCATGTACTGTTTGCCAGCGGGTACCTGAGGTACACGCTAGGTACCTTGGCCGCTGGGCGAACATCAACATGCCAAACTAAGGCCTGTTGTATGTGTATCGAATCTACGTAGTGACGAAGAGTATGATTGGACAATTGAGAACGACCAGAACAATGAAATGATAAAGATCAACCCGTAACCGGTCTTGGTATTTAGCGCCTCCTTGTGCTGACTGTTTTGATCTTGTGTTGGAACACAACAGGTGTGCCAAGTTTTATGTCGCCCTTCTGCCGCCTAACCTGGAGCGCATGTTCCCTGGTACTGCCCCGAGCTAAGTCTCTTGTAGTGCAGCCACGCCACACGTCACTGGTCACCGGTGCAACCACCAACTGCCCCGAAAAAAGGCACCGCGCGGGGCTCGAGGCACGGGAAGTTGAGCTCGTCCAGCCAAGCTTGCTCCCCTCTCATCATTCACCCGTTGTCATCTAAATCTCCTCCTTCTGGCACGTCATTGCGCCTCGTAGCTGCACATATTATCCCGCCAGCGCATCCTGACTTCTTCCCTCCCTGCTGTCCCATCTCTTGTCGCTCCCATTGTGCTTCTTACAGCTTTGTTGCTTGTAAGCTTCGAGTCCGTACGACTTGCTCTGTCCATATAACATCGAGCTCTCCCCCCCACGACAACTAACCCCATATCCACAATGGTGAGTCTACATTGCATCGCCGAAGCTATGAACCACAGCTATCAGTCCCCTTTTTATATTTGGAAAAAGGAGCTTGAATGGAGCTGACACCCCGTGGAACACAGGCAGACACCGGTCTCCCCCCTGGCTGGGAAGTTCGCCATTCCAACTCCAAGAACCTCCCCTATTACTTCAACTCCAACGAGAAGGTTTCGCGATGGGAGCCTCCCTCAGGCACCGACACCGAAAAGCTCAAGCACTACATGGCTGCCCACCACAGCGCCTCCTCGCGTTCCGGCGCAGTCGTTGGCGTCCCCGAGGGCAAGATTCGTGCTGCGCATCTGCTTGTTAAGCACCGAGACAGCCGACGCCCCAAGAGCTGGAGAGAGGTCCGAATTGATCCCGCCCCCGTCCCGCACATCCACCCTGTTCTTTTCCCACATGTCAAATCATTGGTTGCTATGGGAGACCGCTGCTGACACCCTTGGTTTGGGGCATGTTACAGAATGAAATTACCCGATCGAAGGAAGATGCGTACGAGATCATCAGAGCTCATGAGAAGAGAATCAAGTCTGGCGAAGCAGCCTTAGGCGAGCTGGCCCTGACAGATTCAGACTGCTCGTCCGCGCGCAAGCGGGGCGACTTGGGCTATTTCGGGCATGGCGACATGCAAAAGGAGTTTGAGGATGCCGCTTTTGGTCTCCAGGTTGGAGAGATGAGCGGCGTAGTAGAGACGGCGAGTGGGTTGCATTTGATTGAGAGGTAAGTGAATATTCCTACCACCTTCCCCCCTGTTCGCGGCATCCACCCCATTAGATGACCCCCCTTTGCATCTTTTGATGTTCTTAGAGGTCACTGTTTGGCAAATATAACTGACCGAGTTCTCCAGATTGGAATAAGTTATCTTTGTTTAGGCCAGGCATGCTTGAGTAGAGTTGAAGATATGATGGAGCGATCCCTTTTGCGTCACTGATTCTTCTATAGCAAGCTGAGGATACACGGAACTGCGAAAACTGGCAACGTGTCATTGTTCGCGCGCCGTTTGTTCTTTTATCCAATTGATCTTTCCTCTCCGTCGTATACCTTTGCTCCGGGTTTAAACTTACCCACTGTGGTGCTCAATGAAGGTAACATTTATCTTGAACTTCACAACCTGTAGACGCAGTAGAAAGAACTTGCATTACTCTGATTAAATTCGAACCGCGACTTAGTGAGTCGGCTATTAACGCCATTAACCTGGTCTTATCTATCCCTTAACCTTCGCCCCCAGACGTTTTCTTGTAACGTAACCCTTGTAGTAACTCCAAATCACACTATTCCGCACCTTGAATTCAAACTCATATCTCAGTAAACACGCGACCAATTTGTACCAACTCCGAGCTTTTCAAAGAAACCAAAGATTCGAAACGAAAGAAGAAAAACATGACTCGATGAAGTTGTTCTGCCTTGTGCAGCCAATAAGATCACGGCGGATCTCAGTACAACCAGGAGAGACGTTAGGAGGAGAGAAACGTGACTCGATAAAGTTGTTCTGCCCTATGCGGCCAGCGAGATCACGGCGGATCTCATTGGCTCCACGGTGGCGAACACCACAGTCATAACACCATACACAATCATCGACAGAACGGCGAAGGCGGCGGCGGGCGATCCGATCTCCAACAGGTATGCAACCCCCATGGCTGCTGCATTGGCTCCGATGGTGAAGTTGAGTGCGAGGGTTGCCGGGCTATTGCCCACGACCTCCTGTCCGCCCAATCTTGTTGTTGGCGTTCTTGGCGACGCTGGTTCGGTCTGGGGTTTTGGCGCGGTCATCAATGGTGACTGGGATCCTGAACTTGAGGCTTCTGCGGGGCTTTCCTGGGGGCTTGTATATCCGGAAGACTCTTGGTTATCCACGGTATGGCTGCGCATCTTGGCAACTAAAAGTCCCACGAGATAGGGACACATCAACTGCCCAAGGATTCCGTTGGTGACCACCAAGGCTGCGTTGACGGCAGCGTTGCCCTGGACAGATTCCATGATTGGTCTTGCAAGTGCCAAAGTCGTGCATCGGGCTGCAAATGACAGGGACTCTGCTGGCTCGAGTCCAACAAGTCGGCCGATACGGACGCCCATAAAGACGTTGAAAGCAGCCGCAAGGGTTGCCAGAATCGTAACGAGCAGCCCATTGAGGCTGAAAACTTGGCGGCGGTTCTCATAGAGCTTAAACCCCCAGACGACTATCCCACATTCCAAAACGGCCAGAGCTGCATCTCCAGCACCGAAGTTTCGTGTAGGGTTGGCAGTGAGAAGAGTCTGCTTCACAGAGGAGGTCCAGATGGCGTAGAGTGGCGTCCCAAAACTAAACTGATGAAGAAGATCAGTCAGGCTCATGTCGATTGTTGCAGCGGCCTTTGATCTCGTATATCCGATCGTCAACAGGGTTGTAAGAAGAACAGGATTCATGGTAGTGGTCAACATCCTCTTGATTCGGGGACTCCCCGAGCAGATTCGTGAAACCTTGAAGCCACGCTGTGACTGTACTGAGGTATTCCATAGGCACAGAAGAATACAAATGTCCAACACACGGTGATCGTGAAGTTTGGCGGCAATCGGAGTACCGACCACTAGAGCAACAAATACGGGCAAGAGGATGGGGTATAAAGCCACAGCAGAATCCCACACTGATGACTTGGGCTTGGCAGGTTCGGCGTCGAGGTCGATAGCAGGGGTTGTCGGTGGAGTTCTGTTCGCAGGCTCCGAGGCACCTTCTGTCTCTTCCTTGGGCTGGTTGGTCGCTTCTGCTCCCCGCCGAGCTCTTTTCTCGGTTTGGGTATTGTTGAATCCTAACCTTCCGCAAGTGAAACCGGTACTTCGAGTGGCGAGTGTAAGCACGCAGTAAGCTACAACGAAGCATGCGGTCCACGAAATGAGGTTTGTAATTACTATAAGGCACGAAAGTTAGTATCAATCAAGGTTATCGTCTCATCTTCCATCAGAGTTAAGTCTTACCACAAACGCATATGATCTTGGCGATCTCCTTCGCGTTGAGAACATTTTCGGGGTCCAACATGACAATCGGGACAGGAAATCCAATACCAAGGTGCGAGTTTACAAAATCAATCTTGCAGAATCTTGAGTCAGTTTTCAGGCTCTTGGTGATGCATGGGTTTGGTTTCTCTCACCTTTGGCTTCATCATCAGTTGATAGAAGGGATCGGAACTGGGCAGTATCGTTGTGATCCCGGTCATAGTTGCGAAGACAAGAACCATGCTCAAGATGGCTGAGAAATACTCGATATTTACCGGGGCAAGTGCGAGGCTAATGGTCCAGATGATGAGTTCGCTCGCAAGGAAAAGGACAACGACGTATAGGATGGTCGTAATCTCGCCGATGGCAGCTTGGAACCTAGATCTCCAAACTGTTGATGTCACCGGGCCTGTATCAGGCGCGGAAGGTGTTGATTCAGTCATCTTCGTGACTTGGGATGAATATTGAGGGTCGGAAGTGGCATGGATAAAGAGTGACGGGGTGAGGTCTTGAGGTTTTGGAGGTTGTGGATCGGGCAACAAGAAATCAACTTGGGGAAAACACGTAAAAGGAGCGTGAAAAGTGAACGAAAGGATTCAAAGGTGAAAAGACATTAGCCAGTAGACTCGAATCGTTCCATGCACAGTCATAGAAGATGAACTGTCAAAGATTGATGGTGAATGAGTGAAAACTGCTCGAGAGTGTCACTCTGAAGTACGAGAAGAAGGAGGAAGAAAAAGGAGTGGGGGCAAAAACTGCGGCTAAGTATGACCTTGATGGCCACTTTCGAGGTGTTGTCAGTAGGCCAACCTTCTCTCTTTGTGCGGGCTTCAGAATTATGAACAGCCAAACTACACAGCCCAAGGACAAGTACCGCCCAGTAACTGGCTCTCACGCTACCTAAAGCACAACGGTTTAACAGTCCTGAAATAAAAGATCAATCCAAGTTTTGGATACTTTTGGTAAAGTTAGAACGATGGGACATCGGTTGAATAACTACTCATTTGGCTGCACACAGAGTGAATTGCCTCCGCAAGGATTTCCCACCCCAGAGCAGCTAACGGTGTTACATGGGATTCTAGAAAGAGAATCCGGCTATGGTAGAAGCTAGGCATACAGATCAATATATCGACGTTTATTACATGTGCGTTCCCGAAGGCCCAGCAAAGCCAAGCAGAGGAAAGGCGGGGGGAGAGACCAGAGCATATTGGAGCTCCAGCGCGTTATGCAAGTAGCCATCAGCCATTTGGCATGTGCCAACGGGACGTAAGTCATATCCACTTTTAGGTTCTTGGCTTCTTTATGTACTCTGATTCCACACACCCATCTCTCAGATCGATATGGTTGAGTTTAAGGTAGGGGTGGAGGGACCTCGAGATGAGATTTCTTGTGCCACGATCTCCCTCGCGCTCTGGAAATCCAGAACCCCGCGTCATATCGCAGCAGCCTCCCGAACTGTGCCAACAAGACCATGTACACTCGACAAATCTGCTGTCAACAATCGAGTTGTCACACCCTGCCAGTAGATGGCCATTTGTGGCGTGGCTTCCGCGACCAGCACTACGATCTACTCCTACCTCCGTGTACATGAAGAATACTCTTTTGGTCGCTTGCTGCTAGATCGAGGTCGTTTTCCCCCCAACTGAAAGATTCCATACCTCTTTCAGTTGATAGCCCATACAGGGGGATGTCTGCCCAGATCTGGATGTGGGATCTGGGGTAATACCGTGTCTAGTGGTCGTTCTGAGCCTGTGTCTCAGTTCACAGCCCCGTCTTTCATCACAACAGGCCTTGAGATTTGCCGGGGACGTTGAAATTGTCTCTCCCACATGACCGGACGTGTGGTAGGATTGGACGATGCCAGGAGCTGGAGCCGTTGCTGGCCACAAGGCTTGGGTCCCGTCCCTTATTAAAGCGGGTACTCTGTATCTTGGTGGGTGCTGCAGTGCAACTTGAGCCAAGGTACAGAGTCCTCGGACCTGCAGGCAGGCGCACCCTACGTGGCCGTCTGCTGGGTTGTAGACGGCTGTTTACCTGGGTGGGGAGCCTGTAGCTGTCCCCACGGACCGGAGACGGGAGGTCCATAGTGCTAAGCAGCCAGTAAAGCTTCAGGGCCGGCGCCACGGCTCGCTGACCGCCTCCAACCTCTACGTGCACAAATCGGGTACCAGCCAGTGCCACATACCAACATACCAACATACCAACCCAACCGTTCAATCGCACATCGCAACACACCCACCGACTTCGGGTTGTTTCGTGGATGTCCAGACAGCTGCCCACTACAAGTTCTCAGCCTCGCTCTCAGCTCTGATTAGGCCTAGTTGCCCAGCTGCCAGCTCACTGCCGATCCGAGACACTGACTGAACCTGCATGCTCGCTTGGCTTGTCTGCATGCGTGTGCTTCGATCTATATCTTGAGGCGTCCTTCGTCCAAGGAATTTCGACCAACTCGATAAACTCCTCTGTGTGAGTTTTATTCTCTCCCGTAAGTGATCATGCATGCGAACCATAACCTCACTGCTGATGGCGGTGCCAAGCCCGCGCGGCCTCCTTATCAATTTCATACCATCTGACAATGTTGTGCAACCTATCAATCTAGCTACCTACAAAAGATACATTGCTAATCGGACCCGAAGCACAGAGGCCTAGAATCAGCGCCGCGCGGCAATCCTCTCAATTGTTGTCTGTGCGACGCTCTCCATTTCACTATGTCCACGAATGCCCAGCTTGTTGAGCGTGCCGAGTCCCTGATATTAGGCGCAGGGCGTCAGTATGGCATCAATTCCGAACGTGACTCCGTTCGCCAGGCCCTGAGTGACCCAGATCATGGTCCTGCCTTTGCGCAATGGGCCATCACTCATCTCGGCCCAGACAACCTTCTCACGCCAGATGAGATGTCTACGTGAGCACAGCCCACCTCCACTCGGTCCTTCGTCTTGGATCGGAGTAGATCTCGTCTCTTCTGTCATGCTAGCACATGGACTAATTCCAAATTCCTAGCTATACTACGTTGGACAAGACTGGGCAAGTAGATAACCTTGCAGCGCTACATGACCTGGCCGAGGTTCAAGCCGTGAGCGAGGACGACATCAGGATTGCTATAGATGAGCTGAACCGATCAACTGAAGCGATCTCCAAGCAAACCGAAACGTTGCGGCAGCAGCAAGATGGCTTTTCACGCTTAATTCAGAAAGCCTCCGATAGCTCCGCCCGCAGAGAAACGTTTGAAGCTGAGCGACAGAGGAAAGCAATCACGGAACACAAATATGTCTCTGCAGAGGTACGGGAACTCGAACAATATAAGCTTTGTTTGCCCTTGGCTTGTAGAACTCTGAACTGACAAACATAACGCAACAGGTCGAGGATCTAGCACAGAGCGTGGGCTTTCGTGTATCCGAGCTGAAGCAACAAGGAGATGAATCTGGTCGCAACTTAAGTACGACGGTCGAGGGCATACTTGCATCAGATGACAAGCTACTTTCAAGTTTACAGAAACTTGGATGGGAACTAGATCAGCAAGATCCCGAGGAAGCTGGCAAAATTGAAAAGCTTCGGGAAATCAGTATAAGGTAGGTGATCCATTATGGAAGTGTTTAAATAAACTGACACAAACATCAGGTTGATCAAAACCACGGTCGAAACGCTGCGCACAAAATTGGACAGGGTCTACCTCGAGGCGCTGACCAATTCTGAGCGGTCTGGTGAGGCTCGAGCAACGACGGGAGAGGAAGTGAGGGCGCTGGAAGAAGAGCTGGAATCTCTCTATTCCGAGATCTTTCCTGTAGCCCAGATGTCCGTCGAGCAGCAGTATCTGGATCCAGCTTCCAAGTCAATTGGCGGCCGAAGCGGCCAGAGCATGCAGCGATCTGTGGCCGCTTTTACCTACGTCAGTATACCTCTAACCGGTCAAGGCACGGCCAGTCTCGCTAATTTAATGCTTTTCCGCTAGATTTTACAATGCCTTGATTATCTAAATGACCGCGGCGAACGGTTGAAGCAAGCCATCGACACCTTTAGGTCTCATCAAGCTACCTCGACATCCATAATCAGCATGGCGAAGGACGAATTATCAGCACCCGACCATAAGCCCCGGCGTTCGATGAAACCAATCGTACCGATATCTCCCGTTCGCAAAGCTCCGACTGCCCGCCCACGGGGAAACACAGACTCTCGCTCACGAAGACGGTCCTCTGGTATCATGGATGAGCCCCCGATCGAGACCCTTCTTCAAAATCTTGCGATTTTGTTCCCAATTGAAGCCGAGGCGTCCGGCGACGCAAAGATTGCCGTACTTAAGAGGGTGCTCGCGGAACGAACCACTAAAGAAACCGATGTTGCACTCAGCCTCCAAGAGAGTTTTGAGGCAACCGCTTCATCACATCTAAATGATGTCGCCCTAGCTATCCAGCTCTTGAAAGACACCGTCTTGGCTGAGAGCCCCTACAACGAGGTCAAGCTCGTAGACTCAGACATAGAGTCTTCTATATCCGTTCTACTCAGTGAGGTGCGGCAAGTTGTTGATGAACTTGAGCGAGCCGATGCGAAGAAAATAGCCATCAAGAAGAGTGAAAAGAAGGAGGAGTTGGTGAATCGCTGGGCAAATTAATATATCAACAGGGCCCCAAGTCATCATTCTACGGCAAAAGGCTGTAGAATCAGTGATCCTGTCCATATTTCTTTCTACCGCGATTGCTCAAGGGCCTTGGCCACTCTTGTGCCTCGCTCTCTGTTCTGGCTGGTGGGCTAACCAATCAACCAAGTGAAGCATTGCCAGGTCTTTTGCAGCAACTACGATGCGACGGTATCTTTCAACTGTTTAAAAAGTACAGATTGTACAGATGTTTGTTGGTTTGGCTCACAATATATTCTTGGCACCAGAGCAGCGATTTCTTGTTCAAGGTTATGTGGGGTTGGGCTTTGACTTGACGAGTCCGACACTCGGCACTTCATCAATCTAAGGCGCAGGCGCGCATATGCGATGGGACCCCTCATCGCTCATCATCTCAAACCGCACAAATAGGTATTTCAATCGAGGGAATCCCGTCTGCCTGTCTTGTACTCACTCCCTCTCATTGTACTCACTTCCTCTCACTCTCAAATATACAATCAACAGCATTCCAAAACAAAGTTGAAATGTCACAGTTACGAAGACCAATCCTCTTCCGCCCTGATGCGAAACGCTGGGCAGCGCCCGCCATTGAGGACGCGGCGGCACTGGCCTTCAGGTTCCACCATAGTCTTCCTCAATATCAACCTTCACCACTGGTGTCGCTGGACAAGATTGCCGAGGAACTTGGCATCGGCGCCGTCTTTATGAAATACGAAGGCAACCGCTTTGATCTTCCGTCGTTCAAAATCCTAGGCGCCTCGTGGGGTACTTTCCGCGTAGTGTGCCAGAAACTTGGAATCGGAGCGGAAGCAAGCCTTGAGACAGTGACGAAGGCCTTGGCTCATGAAAAACTCACCCTCTACGCTGCCACCGATGGCAATCACGGACGGGCAGTAAGTCGCATGGGCGCGATCCTCGGCATTCCTGTCGAGATCCATATTCCTGCAAGCATGCCTCAACCTACGGTCGAGCTCATCGAGAAAGAAGGTGCTCGGATCGTCCGCTCTGATGGGAGCTATGATGATGCGATTGTCGCTGCTTACACCGCAGCGACTTCGACGTCCCAAGGTCTATTGATCCAAGATACCGCCTTTAGCGGCTATGAGGAAATACCTAATGTACGTGTTGTTCCACGCTGTGCCCTTGGGGGACTGATTTGAGCTCACGTCTTGTAGTGGATTGTCCAGGGCTATCAAACCATGCTGCTAGAGCTAGACAGCCAGTTGGGAGGTCGTAACGCTGACCTAGTCATATGCCCAGTCGGTGTTGGATCTTTTGCTCAGGCAGTTGTCTCGCATGTGAAGCAAGACGGCAGAGCCACGTCTATGGTGACTGTTGAGCCAGATAGCGCCGCTTGCTTGTGGAAGTGCTTGCGCAAGGACCAATTTGCCGCAATAAACACCTCGCCTACCATCATGGCAGGTCTGGACTGTGGTACAGTTTCCACGACTGCATGGCCGCTCCTCCAGAGTGGTGTCGATGCCAGTTTGACGGTATCTGATTATGAGTCGCATATGGCAGTGGAAGAGCTCATGGCAATGGGCGTCCTAGCTGGCCCATGTGGCGCATCCCCCTTGGCGGCTCTTCGTCGTCTTAGCGACCAAGATAAGGAAACCCTCGGTCTTACCAAGAGTTCAACTGTTGTTCTACTCTGCACCGAAGGCTCGCGAGAATATAATGTTCCTCTCGATGTTTCTTCTGATGATCCCGTTGCTCTAACACAAACACTGGTTCAAATCGATTCGTCCAACCCAAGTTTGGGTTCCACGCCAGGACCTGGTGAAACTGCCGTGGCTCGATATATCACACACTGGCTAGAGCACCGCGATATTGAGAATCACTTGGTAGAGCCAACTCCCGGCCGCCCGTCTATCGTGGGTGTCGTTCGTGGAAGCGGTGGAGGGAAGAATCTCATGTTCAATGGCCACATTGACACAGTCACAATCCTGGGTTACGACGGAGATCCGCTAAGCGGCAAGATTGCAGATGGGAGACTCTACGGTCGCGGATCTGCTGACATGAAATGTGGTGTGGCAGCTGCCATGGTAGCACTGGCAAGATCAAAGACGCTGGGTCTGCGTGGTGATGTTATTTTTACGGGAGTTTCTGACGAAGAAGCAGCGAGCATCGGGACAGAAGAAGTTCTGGCAGCTGGTTGGAGAGCTGATGGTGCGGTTGTCAGTGAGCCTACTAATCTCAAAATTGTCAACTCCCACAAAGGTTTTGTTTGGATCGAGGTTGATATCCACGGAGTTGCGGCGCATGGGTCTCGTGCAGACTTGGGAGTTGATGCCATCTGCAAGGCCGGCTATTTCCTCGTTGCTCTAGATCAATATGCGAAACACCTCGAGGTGAATGTCGTTGATTCCAAGGTCGGTCCTGCCTCAGTGCATGCGTCGTTGATCAAAGGCGGGGAGGAAGCTTCATCCTATCCAGCTCAATGCACAGTGACGATTGAGCGCAGAACGATCGCAGGCGAGACAGCCAGCCAAGTCGAGCAGGAGATCCGGTCTTTGCTGGAGAAGATTGCAAGCCAGGATGTCCAATTTAAGTACGATCTACGGGTCACCTTCGAGCGCTCCCCTTATTCCCTGGCCTCGGATCATCCCTTCGCCTCGTTAGTTCATCAGCATGTTGAACAGTCCCTGGGAGAGAACGTATCCTTCCATGGAGACACATTCTGGACGGATTGCGCCCTGCTTGCGGACGCTGGAATACCTGCGCTTCTCTGGGGACCACTCGGAGAAGGCCTGCATGCGAAGGAAGAATGGGTAGATGTGGCGTCAATCCAGACTGTGTCTCAGACGTTGGCTTCGATTGCTCGCGAATTCTGTAGTTAGGTAGTCGAGGAAGAGAAATACATGTAGCAATTTGTAGTTTTGCAAGAAGGGTTGAAAGAAGTACTGATTAATATCCCTCCTATACGGTTTGTTTTAGTTTCTATGCCCATACTAACCACATCCAGAGCGGTATTTCCCAAACCATAGAAGTCAACTACATCCATCTGAGCGTCGATGACGATGTAGTAGTGTAGGGTAGCTATAGCTTGGTCGCGGGACCTGAATGACACATTTATCAAGGGTCACACCGGAATGACGCCATCGGAGGCTCGCTATTGGGCAAAGCTCCCCTGCATTCCCCGGAAACCCAGCCTCAGGCACAGGTCAGCTGGGACCTGCCTGCAGCTGCGGCTGGAGCTATCGCGTCGGGATCTCGCAGCGTAAAGATAAGAGCAGACCTCATCATCCGCACTTCCTTCCGTGCCCTTTCCTTCTGCAACAACCCGACAAGCCACCGATTCAATGACGAGACTCCCATTTATCGCCGCTCTGGCCGGCACCTCTCTGGCGCTGCAGGTTCCTCTGCAGCAGCCAATTCAGCTCCCGGGCCTCTCCAAGCCCGTGGACGGGCCGCCGAAGTCGGTGGCGTCTAGCTTTGAGCACCTGCCTCTCATCGATACCGATGCGCTGCAGGCCAAAATCAAGCCTGCGAACCTGGAGAAGCGTGCCGAGTCACTCTACAAGATTGCCGAGCTTGGAGAGCCAGAGTATGGTCATCCTACCCGAGTTATTGGTAGCGAAGGTGAGTCACTATCCCAACCCGCCTTGAATCCCTGTGAAGCTGATTAATCTGGGGTTAGGACATCGAGGAACCCTCTCCTACATCAAGTCGACCCTCGCCGAGCTTGGTTCGTACTATACCGTGTCCGAACAGTCGTTCCCTGCGGTATCTGGAAACGTCTTCGAGTCTCGTCTTGTTATCGGCGATGAGCTCCCCAAGTCTGCCTCGCCTATGGGTCTAACCCCTCCCACACGTCAGAATGAGCCCGTCCGCGGCAACCTCGTCCTGGTGAAGAACGATGGTTGCAACCCTTCAGACTATCCTGCTACAGCCAAGGGCAACGTCGTCCTGATCAAGCGCGGTACCTGCTCGTTCGGTGCGAAGTCTGAGCAGGCCGGCAAAGCAGGAGCCATCACTGCCATTGTCTACAACACCGACCCCGACCTGGTCCACGGCACGCTTGGTACACCCTCTCCCGACCACATTGCCACCTTCGGCCTCTCTGGCGAAGAGGGCCTGGAGTACGTCCGAAAGCTGCAGCAAGGCCGCGAATTTGATGTCATTTCCTACATTGACGCTGAAGTCAAGACGATTGCGACCACCAACATCCTCGCACAGACTGCAGGCGGTGACCCTGAGAACTGTGTCATGCTTGGTGGCCACAGTGACAGTGTTGCTGAAGGCCCTGGAATCAACGACGATGGCAGCGGCAGTCTGTCCGTCCTTGAGGTTGCCGTCCAGCTCACCAACTTCCGCGTCAACAACTGCGTACGCTTTGCCTGGTGGGCTGCTGAGGAAGAGGGTCTCCTTGGATCAGACCACTACGTAGCTTCTCTTTCCGATGAAGAGAACCAGAAGATCCGTCTCTTCATGGACTACGACATGATGGGAAGCCCTAATTTTGCCTACCAGATTTACAATGCTACCAACGCCGAGAATCCCAACGGCTCAGGCGAGCTGAAGGAGCTCTACATCGAGTGGTACGAGAAGAACGGTCTCAACTACACCTTTATCCCCTTTGACGGCCGTAGTGACTACGATGGTTTCATCCGAAACGGAATTCCCGGTGGAGGTATTGCCACCGGCGCCGAGGGCATCAAGACACCAGAGGAGGTTGAGAAGTTTGGTGGAAATGCTGGCCAATGGTACGACCCGTGCTACCACCAACTCTGCGACGACCTTAGCAACGTGAATATTACTGCTTGGGAAGTGAACACGAAGGTAAGCGATTCCCGTATTTTGAACTGGGTATAATGTTGATAATAGTACTAACTCGGGGGTTTTCTAGCTCATTGCTCATTCCGTTGCCGTCTATGCTCTCTCCTTCGATGGCTTCCCCAAGAGGACCAAGGAGGTTGAGGTGAAGACCTATGCTGAGAAGGCCAAATATCACGGACACAAGGCCGTTATGTAATGGTTTCCTGCCCCGAGCTCATTGATTTTGGATACACAGTTGTATAGATTGTATAGAACGTAACCAGGAATGATATTTTGTCTCATGTCTTCTATCCACATTGGCTCATTATTAGCGTCAAGCAATGCACTCAATAATATGACGATTTTTCAATTTGAGAACACCTTCTACTCTTACTGACAGTGTACTAGGGCAGATCACTCCGCAGATGCATCATCAACAAACAATTTGGGGAATCTCACGTCATTGTGATTGACGATACAGACCTTGGCTATGGCATAAGTTACTCAGTGGGCGTCACTGGTTACATCCCTCAAGACTCGAAGATTGTACACCTGGGCAGTGCGCCGCAATGAAACCAAGCCATTCACAGGATGATCAGGATACGTCACTCATTTAGCAACCAGTGACTCTACCTATCGTCGGAGGTCGCCCTGCTTTTGGGTAGGCACAGATTCGCTGTAACGTGAGTCTGAGTCTCGAGGTGGGTGGCGAAGCTTTATTTACGTCACGTCGGCTCCTGGTACTATGGTTTAAATGAACGGACGGAAAATTCAAGGGAAAGGAGCCTCTTATTTTGGCAAAAGTACTAAACATGCTGCGTTTCTATGTTTCAGACATTGAGAGAACTGCCCTAACAAGGACGGAACTAAACACTGATTCATATCCCTGAAGGAACCAACTGAGACGAAAGTCTTTCTATCTCCGCGAGCCAATTCAGACGTGTGTTAGATTATCATATTCCCATAAACGAAATCTCCGAGATCCTATCTAGGTGTGTCTGGACGCCCAGTATGTCTCTCGCTCAGCATGTTACTCAAGAAGAGGGCTTTGACCACCAATTGCCAACGGATCGTGATAACCAGAACGGGCACAGTATTGAACAGCGAGTGGCATCAGTTGATGCGGGAGAGGAGAACTTGACGGAATGGCGAAGAATGAGCTTCTCGCCTGGCGATTTCAAGCCCCAGAGCCAACCGCATACGGCGGCTTATAAGGTCTCTGACTGGAAACGAGGAGGTGCGTAACAAGTGCTTTTCTTCTTGGTCCTGTTCTTTATTCCTTTCAATGACCTCCTGGCTTGGCCCCAATTGTGAACTTTCAACGGTGAAACGAAGCTCACGTGGTGGCATAGTTCAAGTAGCCACTGCCGTAGTGGCGAACTGGTTTGCCTCAGGAATTGTCTTCGGTTTTGCAGCCCTTAAACCTGTCTTGGTGGCCGAGGGTGTCTACCGTGACTCCTGTGACGATTACGGACACGATGGACCAGAAGCATTCGCCCATCTTTCCCCCAGATACATTCCATGTCCCAGGCAAGAGATGCGGCTGAATTTCATCTTCATCACCGCGACCATAACTACCAATATCGCTTGCCTGTTATCCGGATTCACTCTCGACCGTTTCGGCCGACGATCATGTTGGATCATAGGGTGTATCGCGCTAGCCATGGGCAGCAGCTTGATGGCAGTGTCCTTTGCCACTCCCGGTCTCAATGGGTATATTGGCGGGAGCATGCTTCTGGGGTTAGGAGGGACCTTCTTGTTCGTTCCTAGCTTCGAGCTTGCCAATGCGTTCCCCAAATATTCCGGGCTTGTGGTGGCTGTCATCACTGGTGCCTTTGACGCCTCGGCTTCTGTGTTTCTCTTCTACCGGTTGGCCTGCGAGGCGTCTGAAGGGAGATTCTCGCCGCAGCAGTTCTTCTTCGCTTATCTTCTTGTGCCGGCCACCATCCTCGTTGCTGAGATTCTCATCATGCCACCACATTCGTACCATACTACGGCAGAATTAGCAGCCAAGATTGAGAAAGCTCAGGACGAGACGCGTGATGCCCATTCATCTGATGGAGAAATTGCGGATGATAATCTCTTGGTCAGGGTTCAGAGTGGACGCTCGGACAGGAGGACAAAGCTAGATCAAATCGAGGAAATAGTCGGTGATGCCCAACATCGAGAGGCACGCGTCAGGGTTGAAGAGGAGAGGCAGGGCAACAGTGGTGTCTGGGGCATGCTTCACGGAATGCCGGCCCATCGGCAAATGCGCACTCCGTGGTACGTACTGATTCTTCTGCTTACGGTTCTTCAGATGGTCAGGATGAATTACTTCATCGCTACGATTCGGTCGCAGTACAGATACATGCTTGGGAGCGAGGAACGCGGTCAGCAGATCAACCAATTCTTTGATGCCGCTTTGCCCATTGGCGGCGTTTTGTCGACTCCCTTCATCGGTCTACTGCTCAATAACCTTAGTGTCCCCACGACGTTCTCTATCCTGACCGTGTTCATGGTGGTGATTGGGGTCTTCAACTGCATTCCCTCCCTTTGGGCCGGATATGTGACCGTTGTGGCCTTTGTCATTTTCCGGCCACTTTACTACTCCGCGATCTCGTGAGCGAGCCTCCTTGCCCCCTTTTTTCTGCCTAATGTGTCTTGACCGCAAGATTGTCACAAGCAGCTAACTGCATTACTTCACAGTGATTATGCAACCAAGGTGTTTGGGTTTGCAACCTTTGGCCGCATATATGGGACCCTCATCTGCTTCTCGGGGGTGGTAAACTTTGCCCAGTCCGGACTGGATGCGCTCACCAACGGGCCTCTTGGAGGGGACCCGACTCCAGTCAATGCAGTTTCAGCCGGACTGGGTACCATGATAGGCATTGCATCAACGGCGTTTGTCGCTGTGAAGAGCATGAGGCTCTGCGATACATGGACCAATGCGGATGAGGAGGAGGCGGAATCTCTCTTGGCCGAGGGAACTGGGGGTTATGGGACAAGCGAGGAAGCCAACCGCCCTTGAGAACCCAACCATCTGTGTTCCGTGGCCATCGTAGACCTTGGAGTTGGCCTCGCCCCCACCCATACTCTTTGGCGGCATTTTTGGTATGATCGTTGGGGTGATCTCTGTCCCATGCAGTCGAGTCAGGGGGTTGTTTGCGACATCTAGTGCATGAAAGTCGAAGCCTTGGGCCCGTTTTCTCTTGCAGAAAGCCGAGAAGATTGTTTGTTTGTTTGGTCTGTCTGGAGCTTTAGTGCCAGTGCTCTCATCTTGTGTGCCCTCCTCAGATAACTCGGCAATCACCCCGAGATCAGTGTGCTGCAAGCACTTCGTGCCCGAGCTTGGCCATACCATCTGCTTCCCCATGCGTAACCCATGCGGGAGTGACCGGACGCCGAGCCACATGCTACCGTAGGAGTATCGAAAATACCATCAGATACGACGTCCCTCACATCATCCAAAAGAGCTCCTCAACGGGTAGCTTCCATGCCTCCCGCGCCAACATCCTCGCCGTCATGCCCAAAGTAGTCGTCCACGTCGACGCCCGCCGCAATGACCTCCCTATCAGGACAAGAGCTCATCCATCCACTTCCCAAAGAAGGTCCGACGAAGAATTGGAGAGCCACGAGACACATGGGCGCATATCCTTGGCCTAGGTAGTCTACCAAAGGGGTCGTTCGGAGCAGGGGTCAAGAACCACGCGCACCAGCTCTTCAAGGCCTGCAAGCCAGGTGTGACTGCGGTATCAAATCAAAGTCATATAATGACGCGATATCGAACCATTGAGCAGTCTCGCCCGTTTGAGGGCGCTAGAGAGGCGGCTGCCGGCCTTTGAGGAGGCAAATTGCGCTTCCAAGGGGAGATCGGGCAGCTATCTGGCCGTGGGAGCAGCGGCCTGGCGAGATGATTTCGCTACCAAGCCTGTTATCCGCTTGCGCCGAGGCCATTGGGGGGATTGAGGATGTCCACGTGAAGAGCAGCAGAGCGACCAACAGTGTAACGAGAGGAGGCCGGCCTCTTTGTTTGGCCGCTGGGTGAGCTGTCCATGCCCATATTGAAACCACACTGAACAAGTGTGGGGTGGGCGGTTTGTAAAACAGACCGGGCATGATCAGTCGATTCAATGAATCAATCTATCAGCCAATCCATGTCGAGCTCGTGCGCCTGGTTGGCTGTCTTGGCGCGAGAAGGCTGTTCACCTTCCCCACATCCTGCATGCGATGTGATGGTGATAAGAACGATGGTGGATGGATTGATTGACGATGTGTGGTGACATGGCAAATCAACAGCATGAAGTAACTTGAAGAGGAGGCCACAATCGAACATGAAGGGTTGGGCTGCTGTTGGTTACATGGTGTGACGCTGCAGCAAGTCCACCAACAAGACACCGAAGCGGCCCAAAAACCGTACCAACATCGGGACTTCTGAACCCACGCTGCAGGAACAGCACCGATGAGGGATCACGCGGCATCAATCAACTGTGTTGTGCTGTCCAGAACTGCGCTTCAGGCCTTTTCCCTGGCGGAGGAAACGAAGTTTCTAGGAGATTGAGAAGAGGAAGAGTTCAACAAGACTGGTTTTTCTCTGCCCGTGGGCTTTGACAATGATCACCAGTTTAAGAGAGACGGAAAGACTGTCGAGAGGTGGGATTGGATGGATTGGGTGGCCGAGAAGAAGAGCAAGATGGACACAAAAAACAGGACAGAAACAACTGGAAACTCAACCGTGTTCCTTCTGTCAAACAACGCCAAAACCGAGCCTCGCTAACGTCCTTGAGTTGACTCCGGCGTGACTCTAAGCAGTCTCATACATTCCTAGCGCGGTGCCTCATCCACACTTAACCCATCGCCTCTAGCAACTAAATACATGCGAAATATGGCAGCCCAACTCAATGACGAGACATTTATCTGGTAAGCCTAGTTTCAGCCCTGCCGTTCCTTCGTTTCTCTTCATTGCTGACATTGAGGTACAATAACCAGCCTTATACCCCTCCCCTGTTGCTCTTAGGTGTGATAGGCTGTTCCCTCTCATTAAACGCTCCTCTCTTGCTCTCTGTTGCTGCTCCCCCTTAGAAGATCTCCGGCACTGAGAAATCGACCTATAAGCCAGGACCGTCTTGCTAAGGCCAAACTTGAATTGACTAACCGACTGTCGGCTTACCTTCCTGAGTTGCCTCACTTACGCGTCTCACCGCTTATCAGCAAGATGACGAGCTGCCTCATTTGCGGGCTGAAGAACCACGAGTTTGTCAACTCAGAAGGCCATTCATGGTGGGAGCACGAGCTGGCTTCTAGATCCACCTGGTGGTCGGACATCCGGCTTCTCTGTGACCCCGACGACGAACTCGGGAGCCTGGCTCCATCCCTGAAATACAACAACATCTTTGAGCCTTGCACCTCTACGTATGCCGAGGCTCGGATTTATGATGGGTTCCGACCACGGTCTCAAGCTGCAGACATCGAGGTACACCAAGGCGTGTTCCATGCTGTCTCCCACTACAAGTTGCTGCTGTCTGATGGTACTAAGCGGGATATTTTGTATCACCCTGGAGACTTGCGGTTCCGGACGTTCGATGACCGGATCTACCTTCCAGTCCATGAGGTCTGTCTGGACATTGCCCAAAAAGTCTTCGAGACCTCGCCTCGTGACGCATACGTCAGGGACCTGAGAGCCTTGTGTTTAGCCCTGGGGTGGAGATTGAGCATGAAGCTCAAGTGTGAAGGGCCAGCAAGCAAGGAGTTCCCCCCGAACTACATGATCGGGAAGGCAAACTTTCTTATCAACTGGGAAGAGTGGAGGTCTCGGGTCCGGATGAGGGAGTTCAACCCCATCCACGCATGGCCAGGTCCGTATGGCACGCCGCAAGAGAATCTCCCCGATGTATGCCACTACAAGCTGCCTTGACCCCCTTTCACCCTCTTCAGGAAGAACCAGCTGACCTAGGGATCAATATTATTAGCTCTTCGGGACTAATCCACTCCAGATTGAAAACCTAACAGACTCCCTCCTGCTTAACCTGAAGCCAGTACGCTGCCGTGAACGCACTTCTTTCGAAACGAGATTCTTCGGCCTTCCCTTGGAACTGCGGAGCGCGATTGTCGACGCTTTGCCTTGCCGAGATCTTCCGCGTGTCACCACCACCCTGCTTCCCCAATCATTCTGGTTGAAACTATTGCGACCCGACGCACTACCTTGGCTCTGGGAACTCTCTCCGGAAGTGCTTCTCCAAAAGTCAGAAGAAGCCTGTCCTGGAGGTCGGGATTTCGAGTGGAACTGGGAGCTTCTTTTCCGCCAACTGAGCCGGGGAGTGGACTTCGGTGTGCTCTCTGACGTGCCCAACGGCACTCCATTAACCAGTGGTTTCAGACCAGACGAGAGAACAGGGGCTTGTGGCCCCGAAACTCTCTGGGGAACCACGGGATATTATGACGATTTGGAACATGTCCCTCCGGGGCTGTTTAATCGCAGGCGGATATGGCAACTTGTAGAGGAGATGTTTGTTGGAGACATGCTACCGAGGGCGTTCGGAGGAGATCCCATGGCTCTTGGTTTCCAAAAGTCGGGTCCGCGGTTCGTTTTCCCAGAGTACATCCAGATTCCGTGGGGGAAGTCCGGCCAGCTGCTGCGAGAGCCAAAATGGCTGCCCTCGTTCGAACTAAGGCCTTATGTGCGGAAGCTGAACGGGGAGGTGTACATCACAGATGACGAACACCCCGCGCTCCAGTATTGGCAAGATCCTGGAGGATATTGGAGGATGCACCTTCCTTTCTTCGGGAAGCTGCTGAGCCAGATGAAAAGTCCAACCCTGAAACCTCCATCGGCGGCAACGGCAGAAGATATCAATCAGGTCCTTCGACGGCTAGGGTACCCGGTATGAATCAAAAAGGAGAACGTAAACATGGACAAGGACAAGGACAAGGAGCATCGTTCGTGTATCCGCAAAAGGACCCCGTAGTGATATTATATAAGAATTCATCTATAGAAGTCAATGTCTAGCTGTTTTGATACAGCCCACAGCGTCTAAATCTGTGATATCCCTCCCTATGAAATCGAACAGTATCAAATCGTAAAAATCATGTGAAAGAAAAGAGATGTGAAAGAAGAATTATTTGCTTTTTATGATGAAGAGGAAATGTCTCCCTGCTTCTCGTCGAACCTGCTTCCCTTCTTACTGCCAAGTACAGGTCCAGGATGACCGATGTTCAGGGAAATGACAGCAGCTGCCATAATTCTGAGGAGCCATGAGTTAGCAAAAAATCATGTCCAACCCAATTGTTACAACTGTAGTAGCAACGCGGAGATGCGGAAGAAGATCAAAACTTACGCTGACTCGAGGGCGATGAAGAGATCCTCATCTCGGAACCATTCACTGAAGTATCCATCATGGAGCTCCACGATACGGTAGACGCATCGAAGCAGAACAAAGAATATGGACAGGAAAAGGAAGGAGAGGAAGAACTTCATGGGCTTATCGACGCGGTTCCATGAGGACTTCTTGGCAAGCAGGAGATAGTCGGCGAAAAGGATGCAGAAGCAGATGAGGGTGAAGACCTGGAAGACGAGACCGGCCAAAGAAATGTTCACGCCGATCTGGACGGCATCCTTATTAGTTGCAACGCAGGACAGAGCACCGCCGGCGGCCTGCAAGACCAGGGAGACGATATCGCAAGGGATGAAGATCCAGTAGAAGAGCGCTGGCTTCAGTCGGGAGATCGAGGTGTCTAGCGCGTTGATACTGTTCAAGACGTGGTTAGTACTGAATATGGTCCATTGTCCCCTCAGAGCTATCCATTGGGTGGAGAGTGAGCAACAGGGAATTTCTCAGACTTACACTTGGGATAGGGTGACATAGATGGCAGAACAAAAGAAGACAGGGGCGATGGTGATGCAAACTATGTTCATAGATGAGATCAGCATATAGAACCGCGGGAAACCACAACATGGTACCAACCAATTTGCATAATGAAGCCGTTGAAGTCGAATGGATTGTCGTGAATCAGTATACGGCCGACATATCCAGCAATCTCGAGGATACACCCGCACACCATGCACACCATGAAACCCCAGGTGCGCCTCCAAATGCCCTGGGCAGCATGTAGAAGAAGAGTAAGACCGAAAATGCCGATGAAGACTCCGCTAGCAGCCTGCGAGGGCTGATACTTGAGAATACTCCATTCGATGGGGCAGAGCTCGAGGGTACAGTTTGCTTGAGGCCCAAAGGCAATGAGGCCGTTTGGTAGCTGCGACATTCTCCTGTGTTTTTGGACTCCGGAACAATCGGAGTCGTCTTGGATTCGTATGTACGAGGTCTGGACTGATGTTCAGAGGAAGGATACAGCTGGATGTTGCTCCTGGAAAGCCTAATATGACTTCTCTCAAAGACCGTACGGCTCGAGGATGAATTAAAGTGCACAGGTCAGAGCAAAGTAGCGCGAGCCAGCACGGCGATCTGATAAATATCAGTTCCATAGCAGCAGCTGGCCGGGAGTAGCACCCGGCCGCTCGACGGAGCCAAGCACACTCGACTGCGGAGTTTGCAGGGTTGACCGGGCAGATTTCTCCCCGAAATGGAGCAATTTGAGATGGGCAGCCGTGTCATAGGGAGGCTATGCGCTCGAGGAGAGTGCGGTCTATGCCAGAATAAGACTGCCCTGCAGCCCTTGCAGGCATGGCACGTCGGTAGAATCGGCAATCTAGTCCTCGGCCACGTTTTTGGGTCGCCTCAAAGACCGTCGTATCTCTCGCACTCTCGGACAGCCAGTGATCTGTGGGGCAGCGAGTGGCATCAACGTATGAGACGGCCCAAAACATGGCTGTAACGCACCAAGGAGCCAGCATTTAACTCTATCTAGATGACGGGGCTTCAACGGCGGCATCCCTCAACCTTGCTTCCGGAACAGAGAACCTTTGCTCACTTCTTCATCGTGAAATATTGCTCTCGAAGGATGGGATCCTGGCTCCGACATTTCCGTGGATGGCCCTTCACCATCTAGATTGCGTACGCAGATACACACACACACGCACACACCGAACACAATGCCTGACCGAGGCCCTGGAGAATCACTTTGATTCGGGCTCCGAGTCGCATACACGAATGAATCAGAAGGGTGACTCAATTCCAGCCACCCCTGCCATCGACGCCTTGAGTTAACTAGCTTCATCAAGAACCCGCAACAACGTAATAGCCCTTCAGCTGGCCTCTCCTCGTATACCCAAAACCGAAGAATGCCCCACAGCTGACTGACCCTGGCTCCTTGTCGTTTTGGGTCCGAGCCGTAGGAATCAGCGTTGGGGATGGTTCCGGGGCTCCGTCCGTACTTGTCGCATTCTCGCTCATCTCGTATCCCGGGCCTCCATCGTCAGATCGCCTGATGGAGGAGAACGTACGAGGATATGCGAATCAGATTCGTTTATGCGAGAGACTCGTCCATCTCATCTTGCCTTGCCATTTTTCCCGCTGCGACTCACCATCAGATCTCCCTTGCAGCTAGATTGAGGAGGTGTCCGTCCACTCGGTCCCTCCCAGCCTGATTGCTACCGACCCTGAGGTACTAGAGAGGGAGACTTACACAAAAAAGACATGATGTCCGAGCTGCCGCAACGGAAGGCCGCGTCGACAGCTCCACGGAAGTGGCACACCAAGTCCCGGACTGGGTGCCAGGCGTGTAAGGCGAGAAAGGTCAAGGTATGTTGCTCCCAAGGACAATTTCAACCCAATCTGCCTTTTCGAATACACATATCCCCGAGGCCCATGTCGTCTCTACCTTTACTGCACCCTATCTGATGCCTTGATCTGAGTGGCGTCTGCATCATCCCCCTCACTGCCTCCCACCACTGGCCTGCATCACACCGCACTCTCGGTCCTTGATGACCACCCACTGATATCTGTAGTGTGATGAACATCATCCCTCCTGCCGCAACTGCCTCAAGCGCAACGTAAAATGCGATTTCCTCCTGGGTGATGACAGCTCGTCGTCTTCATCGCCCCCGGCGGCCGCTCCAGCCAACCTCGAGCTCGAGCTTCTCCATAACTGGACTGTCTCTACCTCCACCACATTCGCTACTGAGCCTCAAGTCCGTGATCTCTGGCGTGTCCTCGTGCCGCAGATTGGCTTCCACACACGGTACATCCTGGATGGCATCCTTGCCCTCTCCGCCCTTCATGTAGCCCGGTTTGATCCGGCAAGGAGGGACCTCCTCCTCGCCCAGGCAACCGAGTACCACACCGCATCCCTCAAGGGCGCCCTGCCGCTCATCCCCACCGTCACCAGCCAGAACTGCACCAACCTCTTCCTCTTCGGCGTCATCACCCTCTTCACCAACCTTGCCAGCCCTCGCAGGGAGGAGGACATGCTCCTCGTCGGCAACAGCGGCATCCCCCAGTGGCTCTTCCTCCTCCGCGGCATCGACACCCTCGTCGCAGCCGAGGAGCAGGCCATCCTCTCCTCCGCCGTCTCCCTCATCTTCCGCTCCACCGCCGAATCCGCCGAGTTCTGGTGCACCCACTCCCCGGACGAGAACAGCGTCCTCGCGGAGCTCCAGGCCGGCATCCGCTCCCGCACTGCCTCGTCTGGGGACAAGGCCCGCCGGGACACCCTGCTCGAGGCCGTCGAGACGATGAAGCGGAGCTACACCTTCCTGGAGAGCAACAAGTTCGCCGATGACCAGAAGCTGCGCGGCTTCTACAACTGGCTGTTCATGGTAAGCGACGACTACCTGAAGCTCCTCAAGGACGGCGATGTGGAGGCCCTCTGCGTCTTTGCCTTTTACACGGTCCTAATCCGTGACCTGGAGAAGTACTGGTGGGTGGAGGGCTGGAGCATCCACCTGATCAAGAGGATATACTACCTGCTTGACGAGGAGTATAGGCTCTACATCAGGTGGCCCATTGAGCAGGTTGGATG